GAGTACTGGCCAGGTGATTTTATCAGGGTCTGGCACACGCCCACGGTCATTGTCAGGTTGTGGGAAGAAGTGGAAGATTTTCTATATAAACGGGCCGTTGCCCCTCTGTATTTAGTTCTTCACGTAACAACATGTTAATACAACAACCATTACCTCTGTCCTTGCCTCGGCTGCCGTCTGCGCCGTAGTTCTTGTCCTTGCCTCTGTTCCCAGTTGCCGTCTGCACTGAGCCTTGCCTTGCTTTGTCCTCCGAACATGTCTTGCCTCTGCCAAACCCCGTACCTAATCACCCGCCCGACTTCGCTACCTGGAGCCTTGCTGGACCGTGCCGTTACAGAGGCGTAGCGGGGTTGGTGTGGAGAAGAGATGATCCAGGCGGTGGGAGGAGGAGACGAAAGGGTAAACTGCAGGGGAGAGCCCAGGCAATTGGCCAGGACCATGACGACCACGAGCGGCGACAAAAACAACAACGCTGAGAACCCGGAAGAGTTTTCCCTTGCCAAACGGATTTCTTCACACAACCAAGCACGAAGATTGGGAAGGAGCGACGCCGACGGCTGGGTGAAGGATTTTCTTTATCAGGTTTTTGTTTTTGACATTCCGCACTTGTTTTTGTTTTGCTTTTGGTTGTTGTATTTCGTTTCTTTATCACGCATAGCATTAGGGCTCCAAGCTGTATGAAAAGTCACACCAGCCAGCGTCAAACGCCACACCACTGACCTTTATAGGTATAGATATTAGTACAAAATTCTCCTAAGGCGAGGAGTCAAAATCGCGCCCATACAGGGCTGCTATAATGCCGGTGACTTTATTGTATAGCTCAATATTGTATGTATTGCATGAGTTACTATGGTGTCATTCTACATATGGCGGTGGAGTTCGCGGGCGTGAGCGGGGGCCCGTAATAAAGCACAATGGGAAAGTACTATACCACTCGACCAAAAGGTATTTTGATGGCTGAAGGCCATCATCCTAGTAGCTACTTAAGGCAAGGATTTCTGAATCGTGACAGAGCCACCGCTAGTTCCTCTCTCTCACTATCACTATACCACTCTTCCAGTCTATTGCCGATTATGACTTTGGCCTGGCTCTCACTGCGGATTCTCCGGCCTTCGAATTTTTTATTGAAGGAGAGCAGACAGTTTATCGAGTGACATCTTATGATGCGCCGACGACCTTCAGAGGTCGTCATCGCGATCGAACCAAGTCAGGCAAGATGGGCGCCTCGGCACCGTGCATCACTACGGAATATGTAGGAGCATATTCAGTGAAGACATTTGCATTCGAAACTCCATCCTATGTTACTTGACTGCCATCCGTTCTATCCAGAACACCATAGTGTACATCAAAATCCTCCCATGTCACCGAGCGTGTTTTGCCCTTTCTGGCGACCGTATTGCCGTGCAAAAAGCCTGTCTGTCGTTCTCATTCACGAACTCCACCTCCACCTCGCATCCCATCCTGTCAATTCCCTTCACCCCCTCCCCCCCGACCGCACTGACACTGCCCAAGTCCCAATGTGATCCTTGTGTCATCTCCTCTAGTGCTAGTAATACCGTTCCTCCCTCCACCACCACCTTCACACCGACGGGTAGAGTCGCGCTGATCCATCGCTCGGTACAAACAGGATTGATCCAGCGCACGAGTAGTCGCGCCTGATCGGACCTCCGCCATAAGGATAAATCGGCGGTCCCCGCGGCGATAGGTGACGGCGAGTGTAGGAATCGGAACCGTGACTTTTGCGCCTCGCGGAAAGCGACGTGGGGGATGTGCACGGTAGAGAGGAGACGCCATCTGGGTGTCAACCCAGAAAGGAGGGGTGAAGCATGCTCGAGCGTCAACGTCGCTGGTTTCTGAGAGCACCTAGCCAGCTCCACTGCCGTAGTCGCTTCATGTAATAAGTCGATGTGGTTCGATATGTAATCGGGTTCGAGGACGTTCGGTAAGTGAAGACTCGTGGGGGTAATATGTATGTCGGTTGTCCGAGAAATATAGAAGATGCGGCTGCTTTGCTCCGGCCCTGAGCGCTCGGTGAGGTGGAGAAGTTTGTATTGTGAGGATTTCCTCTCGTTTCGTAGGGCGAAGACCTTTGCCGTCATTCTGTCGTCCCGCACCCATGTGTAATCCGGCTCGATGGAGATACCCAGGATTTTTTGCTCGAATTTTGTTGCATCTGCAAATGTAAGTAACTAAGCCAACAGGTAGTGCGGACGCCACAAACCGGTAGACGACCGAAATACAAAGCGTAGCGACCGTGTAGGAGAGCTTCCGTCATAAACATAGCTTGTTCTTGGAACATAGTCGCCGAGGGTTCGTGTGATGGTATGACTGATATCCGACCATTTGGCGACGATATCGCGAGATCCCGTTCGTTCGAGGCGGACATTCGACATCGGAAGAACTAATACCACCATTAATCAGTTGCTCGCCTTCCCCCACCGATTGTCATGAACCTACAGAATGATTTGCTCCACGGATACGACTCATACGGCGCACTGGTGAGCACCAGTCGCCGCGATGTCTGCCATCCATATGCCCGTTCCCCCCTGGTCTCCAGCACACGTAGCTCGCAGAAGTGATGTTTCCCTCGTGTCTCCAATAGGATGCTGGGATCTTGTAGGTCTTCGACGTATTCCAGGACTTCTCGAAACAACGGTTCGCGGGTCTCGCCATCGCGGAGGTTGCGCGCAACAACGGAATCGAAGAAGTTGGATGTCTTTGAACGGAAGACCTCGTAATCTGCGGAAGTTAGTATAAAGATAGTAATTAAATGGATGGAAATGTTGACCGGAGAGTTGGATGAACTCGACGAATGCCATTACCCCAGAGATTTTGAGGGGTATGCACCTAAGCATCCCTGCCAGTTCCACGCCTTGCATGGATTGCAAATCCTGGCGCTCAACTTTCTTCATCAGCGATTACCACACCCAGGGAGCCAGCGTCACTTACAGTATCGGGAAAGATACAGCGTTCCGGTCTGGTTGCACAGTGTGATACTGGGCTCACTATCGCCGATACACCCGGAAACGACTAGCAGGTACGGTGCACCGGTACTTCCATTTCGTAGACGTCCGATCCGTAAGTTTACGAAACCACGGAACATGACGACTTCGTCGGTATGGCCAGCATCCTCAGCGCGAATGTCGATCCATCTCTGCGTATCAACCATGCCGCTCGACCGAATCGCCGTCGGCTCGGAATACTCCCATATGCCGTAGTTGATGGTTGGTCGCGCGTCGTCCATGAGGTGTCGGAATGGCTCGAGGTGCCTGAAATCGGATTCAAACGCCTACCCTGCTATCAGTCCCTGTACTTGCCGGCGCGGGTAGGATGTCTCACATTGATGAGTCCATCGAGAAGTCTCTGGTCCTGCTCCACCACCACGAGTAGCATTCCCGCATCTCTGAGTATCACATCAAAGACGATCCACGATGCCTTCTGGAGATCCACAAAGGCCTGATAATGCGACATGTTCGGATCGATCGACGAGCAGATACTGGTGCTGTCGGTGGAGCGGCGATGAATGAGGACTGGACTGCGCGACTGTACTCGAAGTTAGAAATCACCTCGACCTTTCATATAGGTTTCCTACCTTCAACAGCCACCAAACCGCACACCGTAGCCAATCTGTCGAAGTCTTCGGATATTCCGTCCTCGACAAAAACGTGAACCGTAAAGCGGCATCCCGCGGAACTTTCCAGCTTGGATGAGGCGGCTTACAGTACAGCGACACGGGGGTCCCTGCTAACTGCAACTGCTTGACCATGCCGTTCGTCACCACTTCCTCCTCGAGAGACAGTATATGTGGCCGCCCCAGGTCCCCGAAACACCCTGCTAGAGACAACGGCGATTCCTCCTCGATCGATCCGAGCCGCGACTTCGTGGCGCGAGAGCTTTCGGTGAATATGAACGATGACGAGCGATCCCAGGGGAAATCGTCGGAAGAGGCCGAAGAGAACGCGTATGAGGAGGTGTTGGTGCTTGACCACGAGCAGTCGACATGTTCTTCAGTATAATCGTCGCAACATAGATCCGTGCAGAGTCTGTGTATTGTAGCGACCGCGACAAAGATCAGCACATGTCTATGTCAGCCTTTCTGCCTGGTGGGGTTGCACTGCATCTTGCAGCGAGGCAGTGTTGCGGGAAGAACGAAGTACTCACCTCTCGATCCCGTTCTCGAAAACGGCGAGCTCCTGATTACCGTCTTGTAGTCTGTCGCGTAACTCCCGAATCTCCATCTGCATCGTGTTCCACTCCATGCGACTCCCGAATTGCGGGTTTGTTCCATTCGCGGCGCAGTCGTGGTACCGTGTAATCTTCTCGTCCAACTGGTCGAGCGTACGGATGGCCGCCACCATCGTCTCATGGCTGATGCCATCCATCCCGCATCTCTCGGCTTCCAATCCAGTTCCTTTTTTCTTATGACGGATAAAAGCAAGTAAACCTCTGAGATTGCAGAGTTCGACCACGAGCTGTTGAAACCCTTCAGGCACGTCGCGGGCCGCGAGCTGTCACCACCCAACACCGATCGCATCTGTCAGTTTCCCTTGTAATTTCATTCTTTGTCGGCTCCGGGAATGCCGAGTATGTAGTTTTCGCTCCCGACTCACGTAGCATTTAGGACAGACATCCCTTCCCAGCATTCGTAGAGGTGGCTCTCCCGCGAATTTTCGTGCGTTCAATTTCATCGTAGTATCGCCAACACCCAGCTGGCTCGGGTGTTACCGTCATCGCGTGCTTGCAACGACACCAGGCGGGACTGGAGAGGTGTCGGGATGGGGTTTTATCTACCGGTGAAAATTGCATCAGCGCTGCTGCATAAAACTCGCCAGCTAGTGCAATGATGATGCGGGGGATGTGAGTAGGAACCCGAGCTTCGCCTTCCAGGTTCTAGCCGATAGTCACCTAACCCTTGCAGATATTGCCCTCGGTTGCAATTGACGGATGGCAGTTGAATGATCGGGGATGTGTGCGGAAAAGGGCGATCAGACCTCATCCGACGTAGTAAACGCGCTTGTCGTGACAAGCAGCCTCTAGGCGCATTCCTCGCTGCAACACAATCATCCCACTTTCCTACCCTTCGATGCCAGTCGATCGCGAATAGATATCCGTTTCCCTTGGTAGCGGAGAAATCCTCCAGAAAGTCAGTAGTAGGATGGTGTGCAAGTGCTTACATTCCCAGTCTGCCGATGTCTTGCCGATAACTGTCGTCCAGGATGTAATCCTTGCAACAAAGGATGCGGACGACTCAACGAGCAGGAAAATGCGAGGTGTCGTAATGCAAGGAGGAGGCACAGAGTAAGCACTTATTGCCTCCGACTGGACCAAGCAAATGCGGGGTCCCCGCAAGAACGTGCAGAACTGCCTCTTTGGACATCGCCCCCAGGCTTTCGCAGTCGTCGTCTGGCGATGGAGCGTAGTGCCGACGACATGGAGGATCACTCGCGACAATACACAACTCGAGTCGATTTTCGCCATCTGTCAGATGAACCACTTGGAAAGCACCTCCTCAAATGCAGCCTGAATATTTGTGAAGCCCGGACGAGCCACAAGAGATGGTCAGCTTCCGCTGTACGTTAATCTCGAAGAACAAGGGCGAGGCCAGCGAGGTCTCGCATAGGACCGAGCCGATGATCTGCGCACCTGGATCCGGTGCTGGGGATGCCAGTGCGCGTCTTATCGAGCGGGTTGGGGGTGGCGGGAGAAGAGAGGAATATTTTGTCGTGGCTCACGGGAGCCTGGTGAGGGCTCTCGAAGGAGGTGGGGAGGTACACCGGAACGACGGTGCCGACAGAGCCGGAGGCAGCCGCCGAATCGATAGGAGCGGCCGAAGCGGAGGCAACCATGATCGAGACGGCAGCAAGAATGCCGAGATGGATAAACATGTTGATATGTAGATCGATTGTTGTTGGTTGAGATGGTGTGAAACTGTTTGTAGGGAGGAAGAGGAGGAAGCTTGAAGTAGTGGGATACAAGACAGGAGAGCGGAGGGAACCCAGGTCTACTGCAGGGTGGGCAGACACAAACGTATGGTAACTCAATGTGAAAGTAGAGTAACCAAATTGAACTACTCTAATAGAGATCTTTGTCCAAATCAGTCTTCGTTAACCCGGAAGCGAGTTTTACGAGTGACCGGCGATGATCGCAACTCTCGGACGTCCACACGCAATGCATCTACTCTGTTAATCCCGCTCAACGAAGACTTCTAGATGCTGATTGAGGGATATAATACTGTGATAGGTAAGAAGATCTCGATGAGGTAGTCTCGGTGATAAGACCCTCGGCAGCCACCGCTGCTAGGGTGTTTTATTGGAGATGCGAGATTGCAATGGATACGGAACGAGTTGGAGAGTGGCAGGATAAGGTGAGGCACGCCTCCCCCACTGGATTACTACAAATCTGTTGAAGCCATGGTGATGTGTGGATAACAGGTTGGACGAGATCCTCTCTCACTGCCTTCCGCCCTTCATGAATGATCGCTCCACTATCCATCGTCGACTCACGAATCACACGATGTTCACCCATATTCACCGTCGAAGGCACTATATCAGACAAATAATAATGGAGTTGATGAGTCAAAATATTATGTCCACCTCTCTTCATCGCCGAGCAATCAGTTTGTGAGACTCTCATTCAGCTGCCGACAGTCGAACCGGACTAACCCACCTGTACCTGCTTGATTCGCCTCCATCGCATCGGCGCCGGTCACATCGTTGATAGCTACGCGATGGCCTTTCCATGAGATGGATTCTGCGAATGCTATCGCTGAGGACTGCAGACGGAAGGCGTGAGGAATACAGAGGCGTTATTTTGGTGGTTTTTTGCAGACGGTAGTGCGACGGAACCTGAAGTCGACCATCTGCAGCAATCCAGATTCCACGATGCTGCCCACACCAACTCACCCTCGAGGAGGTATACTCTGACTGTCTTGCCATCTGAACGACGGGGACTTGTGTGTGTTTATCGAAGATTTGCACGAGATTACAGAAGAGCACCACATCGCAGCATTATACCCAGTTCCGGGGGACAAAAGGCGAGCGTAGGTCAGTCTACCGGTTTACAACGGAAGTTAATGTCAGATTACGGCGTCCGGAGCACATGAGGCATCTCTCCTCGTGTCCGCTGTAAGGTGACGGTGAAGTGTCAGGGAGCACTGTTTCTTTGAAGGAGATGAGATACCTAGGCCGAGATAAATACTCTTGGAGAAGAAGTAATGTGCTGAGGTGTAAATATGCCATCATTTTCAGCCGTGAGCAGTTTAGTCGTACAGATTGATTCCGTAGCCAAGTAGCATCTACGGGCCAGTAATATCCAGTCCGTCAGGACTCAGGATCTTTGCGCTTGAAGTAGAGGCTGTAGATTATCCAGCTTCGTCGGGCAGTCGGGATCTCGAAGCACCACACGATTCGACACAATCACGACGAAAGCGAACGAGAGTCATGAATCAAACATGCCATTTGCACTGCTCTCCGCCGAGACAGCATCGCTCACATAGTCATAGAGGTTTTGTTTCTTCTACGTTCATACAAAAAAGCGAATGGAAACAGAAAAGCGCGAAAAATCAACCTTATTACACCCCACCCACTTCGTTAACACCCATGGAAGTATGGTGGGCCAAAACGAGTGAGTTCGGAGGTGCCGGAAACGAGACAGATTTGTTTCATAAATATTTGCTTCCTCAAGAACCAACTGTCCCCGTTCATTCCATATCCACATCCAGCGCGGCCAGCACCAAGACCAACAACTAAGCGACAAGCCCTTGAGATTATCGCCGCGACCAGTAACTGATTAAAAGCGACATCCTCTTTCGTACTGCGCCGGATTTGCGAAGGTGGCCTTTGCTTGACTGTCCGGATATCAGTACCGTCGAATCAAGAGGAAGATTACCGGGCTATAGGCTTACTTCTTATCTGCCAGCAGCACCACGGAAGTCGTCTTCGAATTATACCGAGGCTATTTCCTATCAGTAATATTCTAATGAAGGACAGATACGGAAAAAGTCGTACCCAACCGCCCTCATAACTATCCAACCACTTGGATGGATCGTTTGCAAACGCCGCCCATGCGCCTGTGATGATTAGAAACAGCCCCTTCTATCCGGACAACAGGCCCCTACCTTGCATATAAACACTCGCCGCCCTCTGCTGGTCCGTCGCTACTTTCCGATCGTACCTCCCAAATATAAGCCTGATCTCACTGCCATGGAAAGCCCTGGGACTTTCGAACCTGGAGGTGCCGGTCGGAAAGTCGCCCATGAACCTGTATTGCCACGTGGGACCGAATCTGGTGTGCGCCTTCGCAGTTTTGGCGGCGGGGCATGTGAAAGCGAGCAGAGTTGCGGCGGCGGACATGGTCGTGTTACCGAGTTCTTCATCGTTAGTCCCGACGAGGACTGGGACGCGGACGAAGTTCCCTGACTCGAGGCGTGCGGGCTGGTCGCTGAAAATGGTGCCGTTATCCGTAGCCGGGCCGAACATGAGATTTCCTTCGGTGACGGCGGAGCGAAGGCGAGGAGCAGGAACTGCCCGCAGGCAGCGAAGGGTTGTAGCGGCGGATGAAGCGGTGCAGTTGAGAGCTGCTGATAGGGCAGTCCAAGTTGCGCCAGAGCCAGCACTGGGAGTTACGTCGCGTGCCATAGACATGATCCCAGATTGAAGGATAGCGCCGGCGATGAGTGGTGGGGAATTCTGGCCGAAGAAAAGGTATGCGTCGGTTGCAGCGGCGCCGGCAGATTAACCAAAAAGAGTGATTCGGCTAGGTGAGCCTCCGAAGCGGGCAATGTTTCTATGCGTCCATTCGACGGCGGCACGAACATTCAGGAGGCCGAGGTTTCGTTGTGTCGGAGGGAGGCCAGGCGCATTTGGAAAACCGAAGGCGTTCAGGCGGCTGTGACTGATTAGCAATGATCTGCAATCGCACGACAGCTGGCGATAACATCTGGCATGTGGAGGGGGGAATACTAGTTAAATGAAACAACAATAACATTGGTCTGGTCGCGGACGATATTGGCCCCGCTGTAAAACGGTGTGAAGCTTCCACCAAGCACGAATCCTCCTCCATGAATCCACAGCAGTACTGCCGCTCCATTACTCCGCAGCCTCGAATTGCCCGGAGCCCACACGTTAATCGACAACTACCACCATTAGCTGTCAGATCCCCACAACAACCGGGGAGCCTACACAGTCTTCGCTCTCTACCGGCGGGTTCGGCAGCTGAATGGGGCTGGTACTGTTCGCCCCAGCTCCGCTATCAATGGGAAGGCTCAATCCGGTGTTGTAGCAAGTCGCTCCAAACGTAGAGGCGTTAAAAGTCCTCGCCCACCGACGAGCGCGAACTGGTGCTCTCCATCGCAGAGGACCGACGGGTGGCGTTGCGTAGGGTATCCCAAGGTACTCGCGAACAGTGTTGGAGGTATCGGCGGCATAGTGACCGAGGACTGGACTAGTGGCAGTATTGAGTAGGAGCTCTGAGGTGTTTCCGGTGCTGTCCTGCGCAGTGACAAGACCTAACTCCATGAGAGGAAGGAGACAAAGGAGTGTGGTGTGCATCTGTAGCGAACGAATGACGTCGATGTGGTGAATGAGATCGTAAACATGTTGAACTTAAGTATCGAAGGTGGAGTCGATGCCGAGGAATTGGGGCTGTAGGTATTGCATGATATAGATTGGGCAGTCAATCAGAACTTCGGTGTTGCCGTTGATATAAACTTGGTTTCCCCAGAGTTCCGGGCTTGCAGGGATCGCTCGATTGACTGGTAGCCTAGCGACCTTTGGCGGTGAGACCCCACCGGCAGGAAAAGGTACGCTTCACCACCACCAATAAACAGCAATTATGAGATGTTGCTGTGGAATATGGTTGAATAACCGATTTGAAACCGAGTTGTTTAAGGCACAGATTGTTTCTTCGAACCGAGTTACAGCTTGAATTGCGGTACTTTGACACGCAGCTGCGGTCGCCTGAGAGCCGGTTGCTTTTTCTTCAGAGCATGGAGGCTCTGACGATTATGGGAGATCCGTGAAGCCCACAAAGCGGTATATCACTCAAGACACCCTATATGGAAAATGAAAAAATGAGGTCTCTACTAGACGAGCAAACGGGTGATAGATTAGTGACTGGCATCCGGACCGTTGTTGTCAAGCTACGATCTATTCGGACAGCTTTACCGCGGCATTCAACTGATCTTCGTCGTCGGAAGTTCTCCGCCGCCACTTGCAGTCAAGGGCTGAGACACTGGAAGAAGGAGGCAGCTCTGAGAACATCACAGCTTTACCACTATCGATACCTGTTCTGCCTCGCTAGAACTCCTGTAACCACCGTAACCTCGGTATCGGAATCGTCACTATTGTTAGCAGTGCATATCGTGTCTCACTTGAATCGCGATGTCATCAACAAAATGACCGGCGAGACGTGCATAAATCTGGGTTGGAGTTCCTAGTTTGGCTAGATATGCGGAAGACGATGGCAGGGTGATGTTAAACGATGTGAGTGATTTGCACTAAATGATATTGTGAAGAGATGTTCGTTGAAGTAGGAGAGTATGGAAGTCTAGATCAGCGGTATATCAGCATCGGCAAACTACCAGTAACGCGGAATCAGTCGGACTACCTGCCAGCTACACCCCCCCACGAGCATCGATAAAGTGCTGACCTTTTCGATAATCCCCCTCACGCTTATTCGTTGAATCTTCCCCGATTTTCTAGGGGCCACACTGCCATCGTTGCCCGATCACTCTCAGGACTCTCCTGGGATAAATCAGGCTTCGATAGTAAGTAGCCGTGTGGTTTGTCTAAGCGCCACTCCGAGATTCCGTAAGAAGCGCATGTGGTGACGGACGGAGCCGCTGTTCCTGTTGAAGCGGCTGCGCTTGTCGACACAGTGCTTGCACATCCAGTGGCATTCATCCTTGAAGGTGACAGGGTTCCCATGCTGCCAGATGGCAGACGTCAGCCTCTGCCGGTCGGTGACCTGCACAGGTGCCGGTTCCGGAAGTGTCGCGGGTGGATCATCCGGGGGGTCGTGTACCTGTGATACACCAACTTGACACGACGTGGTTAGGCGGACTCAATAACATCCCCAACCGAAAGTTTTTTTGCTTCCAGTTGTCTGGTAGCGAGTGTTGCTTGAGTAACCCGCCCTCTTCCACGCCTGGCAAGACTACGGAAAGGAATATGGCCGGCTGCTCAACACTTGACCGGAGGGTGACGTCGATGACGACAAGGAAATGGTGGCGACGGTACCCTTGACGATCCTGATAAGCGTGACGACACAACTCTCTGTGTTCCCCGGGAGATTGATGATGATAGCCGGGGCCTGTTCGGTGATCTTGCCGACCTTCCAGTCCCAACCTTCGTCAGACCTACAGGCGATTAGCGAAACGAAGAGCTGTAAGTGACTATGAGTCGGAAAAAACTTACATGCGTTCGATTGAGCTGTTCATTGTGTGTTGCGAGCGAAGAAAAAGCCCGATTTGATTCCTTCGTGAGAAGAAGAAGAAGAAAAAGAAGAAGAGATGATAGTTAGAGGTGGATGAGGAGGATTGCGGATTCTGAATTGTGGTTGCGGGTTCGAATTTGCGTTGCGGGATGTCGGTCGGTTGCAAGGTGTGAAGGAAAGAAAAGAGGAGTGGAGAGGGGGATTAAAGTATAGAAGGGTAGGGTGTGAGCAGGGCTGGGTGTGAATAGGACTTCCCTGGCACGGGACACTGAATGTAAGTGGCGTTTTGGCAAGCTGAGTATTGGCCGACTCACAACTCACTAGTCTCGACGACTGGTAGCTGAAAGTGTCTTTCGAAAATGCGACGAGAGCCTTCCCCACAAGTGTTGAGTGAAGGAGCGAAACCGATGTAATACTGGTTGTTGAAGCGAGCAGTAGGCCACCGACGACTGCTCACAGAGGGGCCCTGTATTCTCCATCATCCTATCCGAGTCTGGAACGGACGGTTGTCAAAAGTCTCCATCATGTCCGAGGCGGTGCCAAACGGGTCGGTCCTCTTCCGACGACGGAGGACAGCGGCACAAGTCATGGTATGTGATTCGGCTGATTGATGATTTCTTGGCCCACATATCCTATCAGTACTGCACAAGTTGTGAGAAGTATCAGTATTCTGACTTGCACGCCCAAGGCACGTCGCCCGGACCCACCACAGCTCATGAGGCATCATATCTCACTCGGATAGCCAAGCTCCGCGCCCAAAATCAGGTTTTTGCCCCAGGCTTAGCGGACGGCCGTCGACTGGCCATCTCGTCCATCTACTGAGAGAACATCGGCCGTTGTGTGCGAGGCCGGGACGGACTGGGAAGGACGCTGTGCATTCTTGTCCGAGGCCCAGGCCGGACAGATCAGACGATAGAAAACTCGGTTGGACGCTCTACCCCCACTAGGCTCCCTAGTCTCGTAGCCTCACACCTCTACCGCATCGTTTCCCAACATACAGGTATCATACCATCGGGAATGATAAGGGACAGTGGTTGGCGGGATTACGTTCCAAACTTAGTCCTTATCAAAAACGCCTCCTCCTTTTTGTCCAATTCTATCATTCGGCATGGTATTCATTGGGGCTGTTGTGATATCTCACTCGTTGCTTAGTCGGTTACGCGGATATACCAGGTGCAGACAGCGGAAAGATGGTCGCCGCAAGGTACCACCAACTCAGAACAGGCCATGGTCTACCAGGCCAGCATTTGGCATAAACGAAAAACCGACAAACGACAGAGTGCTGGTGGTACCAATACAAGATCCAGACCCGAGAACACCTGTTGAAGACTGCGCGCAGTAGCGGGAGCAACACAAGTCCCTTTGGACGGAAGTACGAAAGAAGACTGGCCGAGGGAAGGATAGGTTTAACATTAAAGACCTCTTTGCCAACCGAGATTGCAGCAGGGCCTCCGCCGCTTCCTTACCACCACAGACAAGGGCCGACGGGTGCCACCCTTCGGGGTAAAGCAACAAGAATATCCGAGCTAGCTCTCTGAATTCGCAGCGACAGCGGCGGAACCCACCTATCCCAGCGTCCATAGTAGTAGAAAAGAGAGAAGCAGCGAGAGCAGCGGCAGCGGAGAGTAGTGGCACCAGAAGAGAGGCGACAGGCACGGGAACGGTTTTTCCTCCCCACCCCCACAAGCCTCGCGCCGCCGGCACCAGACATCGAAACCCCAACACCAACGCGGGCCCCAGGCATAGTGATAGACTGGGACGTGGTGAGAGCGAGAGCGGCGGAAAGAGTATGGGCTAGTTGGCCGGAGATTCCGGCATACGCTAGATGAGATGAGGCGTTAGACTGGATGCATGAATTGATTAGTGAAAGGACGTTTGATGTGGGGTTTTGAGAAATACTGACGCTTTTCCTTTCATTTCCATTTTGTCATCTCATTGTACTCCTTCCTTTCTGTCTTTCTATTTATGCGCGGATGGGCCGGGCGGAGAGCAATAGGAATCCCACATCGACCTCGCGGCGAACGGTCGGAGACAGTGGGGTGGAATTCGACGTGTGTACAGCCATGCGCTGATAAGGTCGAATGCTGTGATGATTAAACAAAAACAAATGAGTTGCTTACGCGGTCATAACGGCGGCAAGTACTGCCTGCCCAGTGGAAAGATGCGAAGGCATGAGCAGGCATGGGCGGAGACCAAAGTCACTCACAAGAAGTATCGGTACAGCCGGAAACATAGCCAGAGCCGTGGCCCAGTCCTGTCCATGGACCCCAAGCGACTAGCATCAAGACTTTAATATCTACTTGCTGAAGAAAGGCCACTGCCTCACCCGCCAGTGCCTCCAGTTGACGAACCGCCGCCCGGATGCCCGCTGTGGATGTTGCCGCTACAACACACAGACCCGAGAGCACCTCTTCATAAATGGCCCTGAATGGAAAAGTCAGCAATAGACACTCTGGGCAGAATTCCAGCAGCAGACATGGAAGGGCAAAGACCGCTTCAAAATCCGGGACCTCTTTGCAGACGAGCGATGCAGTAAGGGCATCCCAGAGTTCCCCTCCACCACTGATATGGGCAGACGAATGCCAGAGGCCGATGTGGAAGATGCAGCAAGCGAGGTATCCGAGTGGGAGCTCAGGGAGCGGGAAGGCAGAGCGGAGCTGAGGCGACTCGAGGAGGAGGAGGAGGGTGCCGAAGTCC